GTTTGGTGGAGAGTTAGAGAAAAAGAGGAAGACTCTCAGCGAGATGGATTGGCAAAGTGGCAGCATCAATGGGCTCAATCAAGTGTGGCAACAATTGTGAGGTTGGTCCAGGACCGGGCAGTGTTTTGTTCTGTTGTACATAGGGTCACTATGAGTTACTACCAACTTGATGGCACCTAACAACAATCTCTCTCTCTCTCTCCCCAAATATACACATATATTTAGATAGATAGATAGTATAGTCCTCTATCCAATCCATTGTAGAGATTAGTTTTGCTGAACTGTGCCTCCTTATTCAGTTATAAACCCTAGTCTTTCTGCTGTTTCCCAGTCTTTTGTTTCTCTCAGAGCTTCCTCTCCTCTTTTCCCTCAAAGGTTGGTCTACGTGCCAATGTAGCGACCTAAACCAAAATCCATTGTCAATTCCAACTCCTAGTGACTCTGTAGGACAGAGTAGAATGTTATAGGGCGTCTAAGGCTATAATCTTTATGGAAGCACAATGCCACTTCTTTCCCCATGGAGTGGCTAGTGGGTTCAAAACTGCCAACCTTGAGTAAGCAGCCAAGCACTAATCCACTGTGCCACAAGGGCTCCTGCAGTCTAGGACCAGGTCACCAGAATAGAATTGTTAGTCACTGAACAGCCGTCCCTTTCCTCTACCTATAAGATTGGTAAAGAGTTCCTGATAGGCAGCTCACATTCTTTTCAGCCTTGTCAAGCTACCTGAGCAGGTGCTAGAGGTGGTAGAGAGTCAGAATTGCCTGGGGAACTATTCCTATCAGCCCCCTCCTTCAAATCCAATAAATGTGTGACTGGAATGGGTGGGTGGGTGGAGTAAGACTCCCAGGGCTTTGGTTTAAACATAAGCCTCCCAGGTATTTCTGATACAATTCTCCTTGTAGAGAACCACTACTCTGGAAAAGAGGCAAGTTAGTAAGTGCATTTTAAAACAGTTCAGTGTAATTCAGATCTTGTTAATCCCTTGCTGAAAACCCTCCCCAGCTCTGTATTACTCTTACATGA